GTCATAAAAGGAAGATGGAAGTACTGTTTTTGGCCTTCGGATATGGATAAATCTGAAATCGAATGGGTGCAGGTCCAAAACTTCAGTAGAGGTCGACGCTGGTCGGGTTGGTATTATTGACCTTGGATCATAGATAGAACTGGATGATCGTTTTCATGCACATTTTCTCAGTTCTACTAAATCTCCAGCACATGTTTATGGAGCAGCATTTACAACACAGTCATAGATTTGCTACAAACCTCACCATGCCTCCGTAAAAAGACGTATTCGCTATTGTGAATTCAATTCGATTAATTGCCCAGCCCCAGGTTACAGTGATCATCACAGAGTCATTTCAGTAATTTATGCGCTTAAGAGAAATTCTCTTTTTTTTATTAGGTTTTCAGTTTAATTTAGATTTAGCTATCATGCTTTTTGTCAATTCATTGCTTACAATTGAAAGCTGAACACAGAAATATTGTATATCCATCAGGCATGTGATAATATAAAGTAATAAAAAAATAACAAAATTAAACTAATGCTCAATCCATCAGCAAGCCAATAGAATTTTTTCCTGACTGAGGGCTGTAGCCATGTCTGACAGACACATCCGTGCCATTTACATTCAGGGATTGGGTTGAAAATAAATGCTGTAGGTTTGAGCTTGATTTGGGTTTGTGCACGAAGTGATTGCTTTTGGGTGCAGATTTTAGACCAGGGAGTTTCTTTTCCTGTTGTTTCATCGAACAGAAGTCAGAAGATAGATGTTAGTTATGGTGTTTATAATGTCAACATCACATCAGCGTGTGACTCATCTGGACCATTTGCACAGTGTGACGACTCTGCATAACCCTAGCAACTGCACAGTAATGTCCTCAGATCCACCCAAAAACAACCAAGACCTGCCAAGGCAACCACAGAGAATACAGCATTTGATTATGTAAATAAAACTGTATTTTAGAAACATTTCAACCCATCCTACTTTTGTCCTTGCTAAATCACATTTCATAATAATCATTTATAAAAAGCGGAAGTCTCGTTTTTAAGTAATTTGGCAACACGGTTTCCTGTAAAAACCACAATGATCCCTCCACCTTATTAGCACTGCATGCTAAAGCAAAGTTTCTCACAGCATTGTCAGATCTCACGCACAAAAGATGGTGTACATTTTGTACTGTATATTATAATGTATTTTGATTAGAGACTCCCCATTTTAATTTAAAGGTAATATATTTTGGGGAAGCGGTGCTTTGGGTGATTAAGTAAAACCTTTGTGTGTAATAAAAATGTAAATGTTGGTAAACCTTTTGCACAATATTAACGTAAAAATATGATTTAAAATGATGAAGATGCTTGTAGTCATTTTCTTATTTATTCAATATGTTGTAAATATATGTTGTTTACATTTCATTGATCAAAATAAACTTGCAAGAGTCTTTTTCTAAAACACTTTGTGTAGAAGTGGTATAAAGGCCTCTAGATGAAGTAGCTTTCTTAGAACATAAACATAACATTATTTTTCGTTTTGTTTTTGGGTTGTATTGACACTTGCAGCAATTCAGCAATGTTAATCATCTTTCTTTAAAATAGAAAATAATTGTCTAATCAATAATAACCCCAGGCTCAAATGCATATGAGAAGCAACATTAAATTTTATGCAAAACTGGAATGCAAAATGAAAAATGTATTAACACTCACCGGCCACTTTATTAGGTACTGTACACCTTTCTAGTACGGGCTTGGACCGCTTTTGCCTTCAGAACTGCCTTAATACTTTGTGGCATAAATTCAAATTCTGCTCCTACCATCTGAATGTCGCAGCAGAAATCAAGACCAGACAACATTTTTCCAATTTTCTATTGTCCAAAGTTGGTGAGCCTGTGTGAATTGAAGCCTCAGTTTCCTGTTCTTAGCTGACAGGAGCGGCACCCGGTGTGGTCTTCTGCTGCTGTAGCCCATCCGCTTTAAGGTTGGACGTGTTGTGTGTTCAGAGATTCTCTTCTGCAGACCTCTGTTGTATCGAGTGGTTATTTGAGTTACTGTTGGCTTTTTATCAGCTGGAACCAGTCTGGCCATTCTCCTCTGACCTCCCCTGGCATCAACAAGACATTTGCACGCACTGAACTGCCGCTCACTGGATATGTTCTCTTTTTCTGACCATTCTCTGTAAACCCTAGAGATGGTTGTCCGTGAAAATCCTAGTAGATCAGCAGCTTCTGAAATACTTAGACCAGACCGTCTGGCACCAACAACCATCCCACATTTAACGTCTCTTAAATCAGCTTTCCTCCCCATTCTGATGCTCGGTTTGAACTGAAGCAAATTATTTTGAACATGTCTACATGCCTAAATGCATTGAGTTGCTGCCATGTGATTGGCTGATTAGTTGCTGTTGAGTGAATATGTTCAAATTTTTGTGCAAAATGAAAATTTTATTATATAATTTACATCACAGCTTTTATATGTAAATTAAATACCAATTTTACCACTTTATAATTTGCAAAATGTTTGCGTTTTCATCGTTACACCACTATGGGATGTTTGCAGCAAAATTGAATGTGTATTTCAAAATGCATTCTGAGCCAAATGTATAAGTGAATAAATACATATATTTTAATGCATTGACACTCACTCTTAAGAAGTTTTAAAACACATGTTGGGTCAATGTTGTTTGAAAATTCTCTCAGACAACTAATAAAAAATTTAATTAGTATTTAATTCACATTTTGAACACTGTGGTTTGAAATAGCAAATAAAATTCAGTTTTCTGTTTTTTAACCAGACTTTGCACATACAATTGAAGTTCCCCTTGAAATTTTTTTCTTTTTTAAATATTTACCTAATGATGTTTAACAGAGCAAGGAAATTTTCTCAGTATGTCTGATAATATTTTATCTTCTGGAGAAAGTCTTATTTGTTTTAGTTTGGCTAGAATAAAAGCAGTTTTTAATTTTTTTAAACACCATTTTAAGGTCAAAATTATTAGCCCCTTTAAGCAATTTTTTTTCAATAGTCTACAGAACAAACCATCCTTATACAGTAACTTGCCTAATTACCCTATCCTGTCTAGTTAACCTAATTAACCTAGTTAAGCCTTTAAATGTCACTTGAAAAATGTCTAGTGAAATATTGTTTACTGTCATCATGGCAAAGATAAAATAAATCAGTTATTAGAAATGAGTTTTTAAAACTATTATGTTTAGAAATATGCTGAAAAAAAATCTCTTCATTAAACAAAAATTTGGGAAGAAAAATAAACGGGTTTAATAATTCAGAGGGGCTAATAATTCTGACTTCAACTGTATGTCTTGGAAAATGCTAATTTAAATACATAAATACATTGCCATTTTGCATATTACATTTCAAAATAAAATGTGCTTCTCTGGTGAATTAACTAGACCGAAGGGACAAGGGTGGAATATAAATAACAGCTGGCTGTAACAAAGTGGGTCATTTTGACTTTTGTTTTAAAACTTGTCTATCATTTCATCATTACGATCAAGTAAATTAGAAATACCAGGGGTTCAGTCAAAGCAGGGTGATTCTGCCTTCAGCTACCAACAGCGCCCCTTGCTGTTGGAATCAGCTTCCAGAAATGATCAGATGTGCTCCAACGTTGGGCACATTCAAATCAAGACTGAAAACTCATCTGTTTAGCTGTACCTTTACTAAATAAGCACTTTGCTACATCCCACAGATCGCACTATTAAGGCTTTCTTTTCTTTTTCATTCCTTTATAACCGTTTCAATACATTTTAATCTGTTTTTAATCATTTTTATTTCGTATACTTGTTTCTTTGATTCTTGTTTATGTAAAGCACTTTTAATTAGCATTGTGTATGAAATGTGCTATATAATGAAGCCTTCCTTGCCTTTCTTGCCTTTCAGGCCCAGAATAAAGAAACCGGAGTTCTAGCTGCAGCCAAAGTGATCGAAACCAAAAGTGAGGAGGAGCTGGAAGACTATATGGTGGAAATTGACATCTTGGCTTCCTGCAACCACCAGTACATCGTCAAACTGCTGGATGCCTTCTTCTTTGACAACAAGCTGTCGGTAAGAAGGCTCAGCCAAAAAGAGTGAATGTTGTTGCAAGAACTTTCACTTTTAAGGCTTGTTTGCATCTGGTCATATCATGTTTTTTTCTCTGATCTGATTTGCAAAAATGGTTTAGTGAAATGACTTGACCATTTCTGCACAAACAGCTCTGCACTACTCAACTCTACTTAAACAGCCAAGCCTAATGGTTAGTGAATCACACCGGTAGCCCGAAGGTTGCAGGTTTGATTCCCTGGCATGAATTGCATTCTCTCCATCTTTGATACCCAGGGAGCTTGAAGCATCTTTGGCTGTGTGTGTGTGTGCACTTTCACTCCTCACTCAAAATTTGTGCACACACTTGAATGGGTTAAAAGCTAAGGAGCAATTTCGAGTATGGGTAAAACCACACTTAACAAAGGGTCACTTTACTTCATATATTGCAAAATGAATACAATTTCACCAGATGGCAAAAAAAAAAACCTATTTGAAAAGGGAAGTATAGGAGCACTTTAAGTTTGCTGTTTACTATATTGAAGCTAGAAGCTAAAGCTATGTTTTTTAATCACCAGCAGACTAAACTGTCTTAAACAAACATGTTTGGGTTTGGACAAGGCGTCTGCTCATAAAATCCGAAAAACATTGAGATGGGAATGTTGTGGGGTTTTGTGAAAGAAATATCAGGAAGGCTATTCTAGAGTTAGGGAGCCATATGCAAGAAGGCTAGACCTCCTTTAGTGGACTTTGCTATTCAGGGTACTACCATGAAGCCTTTGGAGCTGATCCAGAATGCGGCAACATGAGTGGTCTGTAACGAGCCAAAAAGAGTGAATGTCACACTGTTAGACATTTCAATTTTAGGACTGCTTGTTTAGACCTGGTCAAGTCATGCTTTACTTGCGCATCCTAAAGTTATGTGTGTATGCTTTACTAAAAAGATAAGTCTTTAATCTTGTTTTGAACTAAAAAGGTGTGTCTGAGCCTCTGACAACCTTAAGAAGGCTATTCCAAAGTTAAGGTGCCATATATAAGAAGGCTCAACCTCCTTTAGTTGACTTTGCTATTCTTGGTACTGCCATGAAGCCTCTGCAGCTGATCCAGAATGCAGCAGCATAATGCTGTCTTCACACCAGACGTGGAACACGCGGATAAATCGCGCTATTCGCGCGTAAATAGCCACGTGAACATTTGAAGTTACTCGCTTCATTCGCGCGTCTAACCCCGATTCATTCGCACGTCAAATCCGCTTCATTCGTACGTCAAATTCACTTCAGAACAGATGCAGATTCGCATGATGGGCAGGGCTTCTGTCTGCCCGGTGACTCTAGCTTCATAGCTAAATGTCTAACATGGATTTTATGAAGAAAATAACAGTGTTAATGTGCTTTATGAAGGCTGAAAAACAGCGTTGATACTTTTAGGGCCGTGTCTGAGTCCACTACATCCTTGCAGAGGTGCATCCAGCTCTGTGAGCACATAAACTCCTCCAGAGACTGAACCTGGATGATGGAGGCTTTCAGCGGTGCTTCTGATTGAGCCAAGCCCAGTTTGATGAACAGGCGATACGTCACAATCACACCCCCACAAGAGCAAGCTGCTGATTTGTTAACGCGAATGTCTGCTGAAGTTCAGATTTTCGAACTCGAGAGATTCGCGCGAAACGCATGTCAAATGTGTCAAACGCACAAAACACTCAATTCGCGCTGCGCCATTCGCGTGTATTTCGCTTTTCGCACAGGACAATTCGTGCAATTCGCGTCATTCACGCCGCACCATTCGCGTGTATCGCGTCTATTTTATTGCATTGACTTAACATGTAAATCACTCGCACTTGACGCGCGTTCCGCGTCTGGTGTGAACGCAGCATAAGTGGTCTGTAGTGAGCCAAAAAGAGCGAATGTTGTTCAGTTGAATGTTGTTGCACAGTTGTTGCACGCACTTTCACTTTTAGAGCTGAACACCTGGTCATGTCAGGTTATTTTCTCTGATCAGATTTGTGAAAATAGTTTAGTGGAATGACTCGACTAACTTTACAAAAACAACACTACACAACTCTACGCAAACAGCTGAGCCTAATGGTTAGTAAGTCAGACCGGTAACCCAATGGTCTCAGCTTTCTCTTTGATAGCATTAGCTTCCCACTGCTGTGGGTGTTGGCTCACTGTGTGTTCATGTGTGTTTTTTCACTCAGTCAAAATGTGTGTGCATTCGGATGGGTTAAAAGCAGAGGAGCAATTCCGAGTATGGGTAAAACCATACGTGACAGGCTCGCTTCACTTTCCTTAACAGAAACGAATACAATTTCACCAGATGGCATGAAAAGCTCTATTTGAAAGAGAAAATTAAGAGCCCTTTAAGTTTGCCGTTTCCTATACTAAAGCTAGTAGTATTTTGTTTTAATCACCAACAGTCTAAGACATCACAGACAAACATGTTTGGGTGTGGGCAAGGCGTCTGGTCATAAAATCTGAAAAACATTGAGATGGGAATGTTTTGGGGGTTTTGTGAAAGCATATGGCTGCACACTTGTCGTCAAGCTTGACAAGCACTTGTTCTTTTTCACTCGAGTGTGTCAAATTGGCTTCACCAAATATTCAGAGACAGATGCTGAACAGAGAACATCGGTCCACAGACCTCAAACATGTTTTTAATCATCAAACATCCCATTTGATAGTTCATATTTCGAGATGAGGCGGATTTCTGAAAGGACTGGTGCTTTCTGGAGAGACCGATGTTGAGATAGAATCGGAAATATACAGTTCACTGCTTACTATTAATAGTGTGTGAAATAACATGTTGTGTGCAGTAATATGTGCATCAAGTGTTCTGAGTGAATTTCACACTGTGTTTGAGAGAAGTAAAGAGGAAGTGGTCACATTTTTGCACCAACACAAATAATTCCCACGTATGTAAATCAAAAGTATGCCCCTGTGATGGAAATGAATTATGAATTCTCCAAATGACTTCACTTCATAGCAGTAATATTTTAAGGAATGCTCAAAGTGGACTGGTATGCAGTGTGTATAGTTTAGTCACTCCTGTATTTGTTGACTTGCCAATCAAGGCATCAACATCGCTGTCTGCGAGCAGCAAACTATGGCTTAAAAGCAGTCTGAAAAAAGTCTTTTTCATTGTATACATTTCAGAAAAAAAAAAAAGGTCACGATATCTTGTTTCATATCATTCAGTGTTGATAATTGTTGAATATTTTTCTACGACCCATGTAAGAATATTAGGATTTTTATTTATTTAGCCACCTTATTTTGTTACCAACATTACTAAGGCAAATAGTTTTAATAGTCCAAAACACAAAATTAATTAAAATTAGCTCCTCTCTTATGTCTTAAAGTAAATGTGCAGTAAGGGTTAAAGAGACTCAATCTTGACAAATAAAATGTTGCAAAGTGTGTGCAATGGTAAAGTGCGAATGCTGAACAATCAAGGCAAACTTTAAGGTCGATCAACATCTGTAAGATCTCAATAATAATGCTAGAGTAAACTTCATAATCTGTAAATAAAACAAATTATGATAATTTGATCCCACCTTCCTGCACCCCTCAATTTTTAAATGATTTTTTTTTTTTTTTCTTAAAAAAACATTCAAATCTGTACGACATACAGCATTAAGTAATTGAATACACTGTATGCAAAATATAAATGCATTTGTAGACATAACATAAGACGGTATCATTTTGCACCCTAAACCATAACCGGGTAATTCACGTTCTAAATAAGGAGTCTGTTAATTTTTTTGGTATTTTTAAAGGCGTTTTACACTTGAAATAATGAACTTGGTGTCATTCAGAAAACAAAATTCTGGGTTATGTGCTTTATCTGAAGTGAACTGTTCATCCTGGTTATTCCTAAACTTCCATCTCACACTTTGCATTGCTAAACTCTCAGTTAACCTCCTGATTTCCATATTCACAGTGTCAGTGGCATTGACTGAACAAACAAACAACGAGCAACCCATTAACATAAAGGACATTCTGTATATTTTACAGACTATACTATCAAGTTTATCCTGAATGGACTTTAATTTCATTCTATAAAGGTAGATGTAAAACTCCCCTTTTCTCTTTTGACACCAGTTGACATTTTCCTCATGCTGAAACAATACAGTATTTACAAAGCACTGTGTTTCCATGCCACTCTGAAGTATGTGACTATAAGGTACGGGATTGGCTTCTGGTTGCTAAGCATTTAGCCGTTTTAGCATCACAATGTTTGTTTAACAGTGCAAAAGTGCTGCTAACACATTCCTCAGAACCCCAGGTGAACAAATACAAGATGAAAAGTGCTTCTAAACCACACTTCTGGATTACAAATGTGAACCGTTCCTTTACCTGCATTTAAAAGCTGAGGTGCTATTGATCAACTTAATTTAATTCCACACAAAGCATGCTGGTGACTACTTGTCCTCTATCCGGGTAGTAATCTATCCAATTCCTTCAAGTTGTCCCAACACAAACAGATAAAGTTAACTTAATTATTTTTACAAATTTACACAAGTAATTGTGTATAAAGCATTTGTTTTGTGAGAAGAGCTTCTCATATGATGTGTGAACGGTTTGTATAGCTTTATTTTGACATTTTCTCAAGCAACAATGACATTGACTGAAACTTTGTCGTACACCACGCCCACCAAAAGAGTACCATTGGTACCCTTTTAGCAGTGGAAACGCAAGCCTGATGAAGGTTGACTCATATCGTACTGTGCCACTCAATGGAAACGGACCATTATAGAAGTATGGGCTCAGGTTTTGCTATCGGCAGATACTCAAAATCAAATGACTAGGATTTAAGGGCCAAAAAAACCTGATTGGGACATTCCTAGGCCCCGTCTACACTAATGCATTTAGTTTGAAAATGCATAAGTTTTGCTACGATTACGCCATCCGTCCACACTACGCCGGAGTTTTCGAGCGCCGAAAACGGAGAGTTTTAGAAACGCTGGACAGGCCGTTTTCATTCTGAAACGCTGCTGCTCCGGCTTCTGAGATTCGCTACCTGATTGG